CTATCTATCTATCTATCTATCTATCTATCTATCTATCTATCTATCTAATCTGCCTGCCTGCCTGCTTGCCTGCCTGCCTGCCTGCCTCTTCTCCTGACTGCTGGGATAAAGGCAAATGCCACTACCTCCAGGCTCAGTTGTGTGTATGTGTGTTTTATTTTCCAAGACAGGGTTTCTCTGTGTAGCCTTGGCTGCTCTGGACTAACTCTGTAGACTAGGCTGGCCTGGAATTCACAGTGATCTGCCTGCCTCTGCCTCCAGAGCGCTGGGATCAAAGGCGTGCGCTACCACTGTCTTGCTTCAAAATTTTAAAAATTTTCTTTATTTGAATGTGTGTATATATGCATTCAGGTGCATGTACACACCAATGGTACAGGTATGGAGTTAGCCCAGCTGACTTTGAACTTTATGTCCTTCTTCCTCAACCCCTCCAGCATTGGGATTACAGATCTGAGCAACCACATCCACTTTCCAAACCAGTCCATGGTAGCCTTTGTCCAGGATCCCATTCCTACCAGCCAAAGAGAATCCTTTGGTTAACTGGCACCTTGAGGTTTTGTTTAAAGTTTACTATGTTCAATGTAATCACATCCAAGTTAAACAACACTGAGACAAACATGTTGTGTTGGAATGCCTGTTCTCCTGGGATCACATGGATCAAACCTGGCTCTGAAAAGATACCAAGACACTTATAATTATTGTATTAGAGCTTCCCTTACTTATTTCTGCCTTACCATATGGGTACAATATCTAAGGGTAAACAAGTTTGGGCACATGAATCAAATGCAACATGCTTCTTGTAGTTGTAATGATACCTCTTTAAAAAGAAAAAAAAAAAAAAAACCAAAGCAAATAACTTCTAAAATAGATTTTTATTATGAAATATAAAATTTGGAAAATATTTTAAAAATCGTCACATTGTTAGTATTTATTATAATAGAGAAAGCACCACATTAAAAATGTATCAGTAAAACAATATAACATTGGTAAATCATGAAGTCTAATTATAGAACTACATCTTCAGAGTCTGTAGGGCTGAGTGGGAAATATAGAATAGTAGTTACATATAAGACGTCCAGTAGCAGAATTGGGAATGCACACCTATTATGTATACCAAATAAAATTGGGTCAAACTGGCCTATGAGGACTAGCTTCCTGCAACTCTGGTCTGAATGAATCTGTAGTATTTTATAGACCTAATCCATGAAGTAGCAGGAAAATGGCAGGCAAGACTTCTTTGAGAATATATTAATTTCTCAAAGAATATATATATATATATATATATATATATATATATATATATATATACATACACACACACATATACATATATAACTTGTACATGAGTACACACGTGTGTTTGTGTGTGTTCTGGGGGCTGCAGAGTTCAGGGTAGGGGGCTGGAGAGTTCAATGTAGGAGGGGGGTTATGCAAACCAGTAGGGGCTGAGGGATACTAGGAGAACCTCCTGGCCAAGTTCACTTTGATATGTTAAATAGGTACTTCAGCCATTTAAGACTTTATTATAATACCGGAGTCAGTATTTTGGAGAGTAGGTTTGAAGAAATGTAAGTAAAGATACTTTCTCTGAATTAATCAGTTTAGGTAGTTTTGTGAGTGGCTATCTTAAAATAGCCACTTAAAGGATAAAATGAATTTATTTGAGACAGGCAGCCCTGGCTGGTCTAGAATATATTATGTACATCACACTGCCTGGGACTTGTGGTTGATTGATTCTCTGCCTCCTGCTGGAGTTACAGGTATGTACTACAGGTCAGTTACCAACTAGCTACACCTAGTGTAGCCTGAGCTGTCCTGGAACTCTTTTGTGGACCAGTCTGGCCTTGAACTCTGACTCCCAGTGCTGGGATTAAAGGGGCAAGCCACTGCTCTTGGCTCTGCAACCAGTTCTTTTGTTTTTTGTTTGTTTTGGGTTTTCTTTTGTTTTGGAGACAGGGTTTCTTTGTGTGTAGCACTAGCTGGCCTGGAACTCACTCTGGAGACCAGGCTGGCCTCCAACCCTTTTGCCTCCCTAGTGCTGGAATTAAGGGTGTGCACCAACGAGACCAGGCAGGTTTTACTCTAAAGGAACATTTTATACTTTCAATCAAAAGTAAACGTTCTAGTCTGAATATACAAAATTGCTGTAGCTCTAACAGCTATACTGTAATGTGTTACTTAAAAGTAGTTTCCAAAAAGCTATTACTTTGCCATCAATGACTTCACAGGAAAGAATGTTTAACTAGCTGTTAAAAATTTTAGTGACAGATACATTAGAGTGGCACAGCATCTTTAATAAAAGCTGCCAAAGGCATGTTATAATCCACACATCCTCACTAGATTAGCAAGACCTAGTTTAAATTTAAGGTCAATACAGATTTCAAACACAAACACATTTACTTGTTAAACATTTTAGCTCAGAGAAGTTTAACATCTGCACCAAATATCTATCCATATAATTCCCATTTAAAAAGTTAGCAGTGTATAAAACCACATGTTTTTCTGTACAATAGTTTAATTTCTTATGTGGCTATTAAATTATGAAACTAAAAAGTCAAAGCTGTTAAGTCAGTCTTTAAGCAACTGAAGAACAGGTGTCTAAGAATTACCTGACAATCCACTGACTAGTGCAAAATTCTTCCATCATTTCCATTTTTCAAAAGAAAACTATCTTAAGTAGAGAAAACATGTTTGAATTCTACCTCCCAAACACCTCCAGCTTTTCTTTTTGTTTGGCAGTGCTGGGGACTAGCTTCAGAGCCTATGTAGGCTGGGCAAGCAAGGCCCTAGCCCTGGCACTTTTTCTGACCTAACCTCTGGTAAAAATTTAAAGCCTACTCTAGTTTAATTAGTCTCATTTGTATAGTTCAGCACTCAGTTTAATTATTAAAAACACTTATCACTTATCTACAAATCAGCCAGATTTTGGTTTTATATTGTTTTGTTATTTTTTGAGATAGACTCTCATCAAGTAGCTTTGGCAGACATGCAACTTGATATATAGATCAGACTGGCCTTGAACTCCATAGAGATCTGCTTGTCTTTGTCTCCTACCTGCTGGGATTAAAGGCAAGAGCTACCATGCCAGGCATATTTTTGAGACTGGGTCTCATGTAGCTCAAGCTGGCCTCAAATTGCCATGTAAAGGAGGATTATGGACTACTGACCCTCCTGCCTATACTTCTCAAGTGTTAGGATTACAGGTATGTACTACCACATGGGATGCATCTCAGAAGTCAGGATATTTTCATAAATTCAAAGCTAACAGTGACTTACATATCTTAGGTATTTCTATGGCAGTAAATTATCTGATGTTGAAAACTAGATTATAAACCCACTATACAGACAAAAAAATGATGGACAACAGGTTTTTAAAATCAAGTTAATTGCAAAATGCCATCTAACACTATACAGTACATGTGATGTTACAATCTTAGTTTCAATAATTCTATTAAAAACCAATAGGGTTGCTATCAATAAATTATTCATAATTAAAATATTTTCATAAATAGTAACAGATGTCATGTTAGATATATGAGATTTCTAAAAGAGTAACAAATACTTCAGGATTGTATGATTCAAGTACTGCTTTTACATTACTATAGTTGGTAACTGACCCGTAAACACTGGCTTACAGACTAATTTGGCAACAATTAGGTATATAGTGCTGTCTGCTTGTTCTTCACATCATCACAGGGTGAATTCTTTTAATAGGAAATAGGATGTTATACATCAATCCAATTAGTTAGCATATTTATGAAGAAAACGTTCAAAGGCATCATAGATGGCTTGTCTAAAATGAAATATAAAGGAATAATTAGTCATTAACAAATGCAGGGATGGACAGATAAATATTGTATTTCTAAAACTATCTCTGGTTAAAATTATCTGATAAGATGTTCTTCTGATATCCTATATCTGTCATTCTCTAGAGGACAAAATAAGAGGACCATACAGGAAAAAAATAGTTCAATGTAAGATATTAAATACTATATATTTTTATTATATGTTCTAGTCCTCTTACTTCCTTGTCGGCCTCCATATATTTCTTAAGGCAAAAAAATATTCTCCCAAACAAGCAACAAATAAATACTTGATTAGACAAATCATTTTACCTGAAGAGTCCTTGTTTAAAGAGATAAGCACTGATATGACCCCCTTCTAGGTACCGGATTTCACAACCAGGCCAAATTTCTTGTAGGCTTCGAACTCCTGTTCGTGGAATATAGGCATCTTCTTTGGCTTGTACCACTATAATGAGGCTTGGGTCAACTGGAACTAAGTATAGGATTTTGATGCATTAAAAAGCTCTTTGATTTTTATATATCTAAAACCATATTCCCAAACAAAATGCACCATATATGAATCTGTAATTCTAGGTAGTTGGGAGGCTACAAGTTTAAGACCAGTTTGGATAACTTAGACCCTGTTGTCTAAGTTGGGGAGATGGCTTCGTTAGTAAAGTGCTTGCTGCACAAGCATGGAAACATGAGTTTAGATCCCCAGAACCCATGTTAAAAAGCTGGGCATAGAGCTTCACTTATATCCAGCAGTGGGGAAGTAGACACTCATCAAGCTAGTCTAGTGGAATTATTAAGCTCCAGGTTTAGTGAGAGAACATGTCTTAAAAAGTTAGGGTGGAGAGTGACTGAGGAAGACATCTGTGTTGACTTCTGGTTTTCACATGTATGTCTATATACAGATGAACACACATATTCAAATAGAAAAACAATATACCATGGTACTACAATATTCATCTAATAAAATATACTTGGGGCTGGAGAGATGGCTCAGTGGTTAAGAGCACTGTCTGTTCCTCCAAAGGACCGGGGTTCAACTTTCAGCACCCATGTGGCAGATCACAACTGTCTGCAACACTGACACCATCACACTAATGAACATAAAATTAAATAAACTATTCTTCTGGTCTCCACTTCCTGTGAGCCAATGCTAAGATTATAGGCATGTACCACCATTCCCAGCTTATGTGCTGGGGACTAACCCAGACACTGTGCATGCTCTATCCCTGGCCCTAAAATGAATATCATAAAGATACACACAGAAACAAGAACAAAAACAAACAAGACTGCTGGAGAATGGCTCAAGTGGTTAAGAGCTGCTATTCCTGAGGACCTGTGTTCAATTCTCAGCTCACAATCATGTGTAACTCCAGTTCCAGAGGATCTGACACCCTCTTCTGGCCTATGGCCACCAAGAATATTTATGGTATGCAGACATGTCTGCAGGGAAAACACCCATCCACACATAAGGTGCATATGACAAATATTTACACACTACAGATGTTCCCAGTTTCCTATGAAAATTAGTACCTGAGAAGTTTGCTACATGAGTGCATTCATCCATGACTCCTTTCATGAATATTAAAGACTCTTTTTGAAGATTGCTTCTTCTTTGCTCTCTGCTGAGCAGGTGAAATGACTGAGGGTTGTAACTTGTATAATGACTTTTGTTAGTTGAGAGTGTTTGATTCAAGCATTCCATCTTAGTGGTATCTTGCAACAGGTGTCCTTTTGAAGTAGCACTGACAGATGTTTTACCAGAATTATGGCACTCAGCACGCTTTGGGGATACAACTTGGTCTGTCATATCTAAATTTAAAGTTCTGGAAACCAGATTCAGGTTAGTCAGCTTGTCTGCACTGCCAGGGAAGTGTTTCCTGAACTCATGTCCCATTTTGAAAGAATCTGTCTGAATAGTTGATAAAAAAGAAAACATTTGACATATATTAGACTTCATGAAACATTTTAAAAACAGAAAAGGTAAAAGTATCAGCAGGTAAATTATAGTACTGCATACATACAATGGACTAGTCTCAGAAATTAACAAAAAGCTAGGAGTAGTGGCATACACCTAAAATTACAGCATTTAAAAGGCTGAGTCAGGAGACCTTATCGCAGACCCACCTAACCCCAGACACATACACACACAGAGTAATGAAATTATTTTTTGTCCTCTTTTTTTTTTCTGGCATAGGGTCCCACTACATAGACTCCCTCCCATTCTTGATCCTCTTGTCTTGGCTTTCCAAGTGCTCAGATTACAAGCACAGGCCATTACTCCTAGCTCTGAAGTCCCTTCCCTTTTAAGGCATACAGATGAACACTGAAGACATTATGTCATATGAATAAACCAGATACAAAGGGGAAATGTGTATTCTGCTTATAAAAGATCTTGCATGGTATATATGAGGCAAGTTCCACTTTATACAAGTAAAAATGAACTGACTGGACACCCGGATTCAAGCTCAATAAACTAAGCACCATTGGAAGCTGCTATAAAGAAAAAGACAACCAAAGACTGAATTTTTTTTTTTTTTTAAGTAATAAGCTTTCAGATCTAGTTGTTTAATCATAAGCAGTATAAAGCATAAGCAGTTCTGAGGAGTTGCTGTGATTCAGATGTGAAATGACACCCATGATAGCTATCCTGGGTGGTCAACTTGACTACATCTGAAATTAACTAAAACTCAAATGGCTGGTCACACCTGTGAGGGATTTTTGTTGTTGTTTATATATATGAATTTGGTTTGTTTTTAGAGACATGGTTTCTCTGTGTAACCTTGGCTGTCCTGGAACTCGCTTTGTAGACCAGGTTGGCCTCCAACTCACAGAGGCCAACTCACTACCTGCCTCTGCCTCCTAAGTGCTAGGATTAAAGGCATGAGCAACCACTGCCTGGCTAAATTTTTTTGTTTGTTTGTTTGTTTTTGTTTTTCTAGATAGGGTTTCTCTGTATATCCTTGGCTGTAGCCCAGGCTGGCCTCAAACTCACAGCAATCCGCCTGCCTCTGCCTCCCTGAGTACTGGATTACAGGTGTGTGCCACCACACCTGTCAGGGAAGATCCACTTTTAATCTGGGCCATACCTGCTGGAAATCTATATAAAATACAGAGAAGAAGAAAGCTTTTGGTTTTTGTGTTTGTTCTTGTTCTTGCTATCAAGTCCATTCCTTTACTGGCATTAGAGCTTCCGGATTCCAGCATATACTGAAGACCAGCTAAGGCAGCCAACCTCCTGTTCTGCCCTGTGTTTCTTTCCAGCTTGAGGTATCAATGCTGCTTGCATACCAAGCTGGACTGGAGGGAGTAAAGCTCAGCTGAGGTGGGGGGGGTGTGTGTGTGCGAAATTCAGGATCCCAGGCAGTGGTGGGTTTGAGAGAAACAGCCTTCTTGGGAGACAGCTGCAATGAGCCTTCGTGTTTAATTGGGAGGAACAAAGGCTATTTAAACCTCTGGGAAGTGAGGCTTTCCAGTGAGTGTATATCGCTGTGAGAGAGCCTGGCTTACTAAGCCCAACCAACTCCATGACAGGCTTCATTTTCTTGCTAGACAGAACAGTCCTAAGAGTTACAGGAAAAACCAAAGAAAAAGGGCAACCAATCTGAAACAGCCAAGACATCTGGCCTGGGAAAGATAAGGTTGCTTAATTACCAGTTTGAAAAACACCCAAGTCCTAACCAGAGTCACGTAGCCTCCATGGGCACCAGCCAGTCCCATTCAAGGTTACACAGCCACAGTAGAAATTCCCCTTTCTGGCTTTAAAAGGGACCTTTGAGCTCCCCTCAGGGTTGCTGCCATGTTGTGAAGGTGGTGACCCCAGCATGCTGGACTTCTGCAGAATAAAACACCCTTTGTTGCTTGCATGCTACTGGAGTCTGGGATTGTTCTTTCAGCAGCATATTCTGGACCCTAACAATTGGTTGGAGGCCAAGTGCTGGGAATGCCTTATTTATATGAGGAATTCCAGGTGCTTGCTGGACAGGCATGACCTTATAAGGAGAGAATAAGTTTAACCTGGAACTTGGCTGCCAGGATACCATGCAGGCCCAGGGCAGACAGGGAGCAGTTCTACTCTTGCCAGTCTCAAGATTCTTGGGGCTTGGACACGCCTCAACCACACTCTTGCTCTAAGCTAGTTTCCCCCACTTGCAGGGCTCCCTGGCCACACACTTTGAAAGACTGGATTCTTGGACCTGCTGTTGGTAAACAGCCGTTGTTGGACTAGCTGGACCACAACCTATAAGCCATTCTAGTAAATGACATATATATGTATAAATTCATTCCTTAAGTTCTGTTCCTGACTAAGACAACTTCCAACCCCTCCTGTGTTGACAGATGGGCCCCAATGCAGCAACACTCAGACCTGGGACCTTTCTTGTTTTGCACTTGCCATGTGGTTTGCTGATGGCTTTATACTACTTACTAATCCTCCTGACTCTATCTCCCAAAGAGTATTACAGAAATATCCCTCATGACAGCTTATTTTTCTACTTCATACTTTAAGTTGATACACTCAAAAGCCCAGTCCTTTAAAAGGCTAATTAAAAAGATTTTGTTCAAGTTGCAGGCCAGCCTTGCCTGCAGAGTGAGCTCTGGGATAGCAAAGGCTACAAAGAAACCCTGTCTCAAAAACCAAAAAGATTTTTTTATTAAAAGATATAACAAGCATCAGTGTCTAGTGATACACATCTTAATTTTCTTTTCTTTTTTGAAGTAAGGTTTCACTATGAAGCTGTGGTACATGCCTTTAATCCCAGCACTTGGGAGGCAGAGGCAGGTGGAGGCCAGCCTGGTCTATAGAGCACAAGACAGCCAGGGCTACACAGTGAAGCAAAACCAAAAAAATTTATATTTTAATTAGTGATACCTGCAATCAGGAATTAAGAAGGCAGAGGACATACCTGAGTGTGGTGGCTCACACCTATAATCCCAGCACTAAAAAAAAAAAAAAAAGGAAAGCAGAGGACAGCCTAGACGCCTAGACTACATAGTAAGACACTGTATTAAAGAAATGTAATCTCAGGGAGGCATAGGCAGGTGGGTCTTTGTAGGTTTAAGGCCAGCCTGGTCTACAAAGTAAGTCCAGTACAGCCAAGGCTACAAAGAGAAACCCTGTCTCGAAAAAACTACCTACCTACCTGACAAAATAAATAAATGCATACATACATAAATGAAAATAAAAGAAACAAGGAAAAAAATGTTTTCTTGTTACATAGTCCAGGTCAGCCTCAAACTTGTGATCTTTCTGCTACCTAATTTGAAGAATCAGTTTCACAACCTTCCTGCCTTAGCCTCCAAACTGCTTGGATTATAGGCATGCATCACTATGCTTAGATAAAAAAACAATAATTTTGAAAAGTTCAAAAGTGTGTATATGTTTTTTTAAAAATTGCTATTTTTTAATATAAGTAAATATGCAATTAACTTTTACTCCAATATTACATGAACATTAAAATAAATACTTATTCCAGCTGGGTGTGGTGGTCCATGCCTTTAATCTCAGCACTTGGGAGGGGAGGCAGATAGAGTTCTGTGAGTTTCAGACTAGTCTCATCTACAAAGTGAGTTCTAAGAACCCTATCTCAAGAAATCAAAAGCCAAAGCAAAATAAACTTACCCCACAGTATTCAAGCATATGAATAATTTCTTCTTCATAAACTGTCTGTGTATAATACTGCTTTTCCAGCTCCCGCCAATTAATTGATTTACTCAATACACCCTGAAATAAAATAAGATCAAATAATGACATAGCTTGCCCTGTACAGTTTTTTTTTATTATTATTACCAATTACTGTATACGAGAGAGTTAATGCAATTGAATTTGAGATTATTTATCTTTTGAAAGGCCTGTTTATATCCTTGAGTGGAGCCTGGGAATTTGATCAATAAGCAGCTTTTATACTGATCTTTAACTTTACCTAAATGGTAAGAGTGAGCCATTGTAGTCTGTGCTCTGATTAAAACTGCAGTGCTTTCTGAACTTCTGGTACACTGCAGACAGAGGGCGTCTAACTCACTGACTCTAGACTCTTATCTCTGTTAGGATCAGTGAAGAGCAGCATTTCACCACTTGTTACAAGTGACTGTTGGAGGAAATAGCATAAAGCATGAGATTCAGTTGAGCAAGGACCCTTGGGACCCTGCACCAAGTTTGCCTCATGGCCTTTGCCTTTTGTTGATTTTCTGTTATATCCTTTTGTTAAAGTTAAGCTGTGTGTGTAAAATGGAGAGAGTGTGTGTGTTCTGTTATTCCTTTTAGTAGTCACAAACCCTAGGAGGGATTTGGGGACCCCAAGATAGCTATTTAAGTACATGTTCTTAAGCATCATGTGTAATCGATTACCGTAGTGAAGACCCCAGATGCTGTGGACCAAGACAGGCATGGAATCAACGGCATGGGCTTGGGCCAGTTGGATACTGCTAAGGAGGCCATCTGTAATATGACAACAGCAAGTTTAGAGAGCTTCTGTAAACTAATGTGAAAAATACCTAATCTAAAAAGTACTTTTTATAGGTGTGGAGTGGGTGAGATAAGACATGAAGACAGGTGCCATAACATTTATAGACTGCATCTAAATTATAAATTCATCAAAACAAATTTCCTTTTAGGATGCAAGAAACTCTCAAGGCTTTATTTCAATTTTTTTTTTTTTTTTTACCTAGTCTTGCTGTGTGCACAGGCTGCTTCTGGTTCACACATGTGTTCTTTCTCCCTCAAGTCTCTCAAATACTGGAATTATGAGCATGCACTTGCCACATTTGAGTAACATTTTGAATTTAAGTTTTTATAATTCAAACGATCATCAACAGCAAATTTCACATACATTTTAAAATATATGAAACACATACACACATAATACTAATGACAAAATGTTATGTAATCAATTTTAAGTTTTTTATAATTCAAACCTCACATACATTTTAATTTAAAATATATAGCACACACAATACTAATGACAAAATGTTATGTAATCAATCAGAGCACACTTAGGTGCTAACTGCACTATGTGCTTTGGGGGGAAAACAGTGGAGCAAGCAATTCTAGTATAGTACTGTGGAAATGCGCTGAGAGATGAAGCATAGCATGCAGGTGAGGCTGGACTCAAAAGGCTTCTCTCAGGAAGGCAGCTGTGAAGCTGCTGCTCAACTAGGCGAGGGCACAAGGGGCCTCTAAAGAGACAGTAGTGCCCAACACAGCTAGAGCCCTGTGAAACAAGCTAGTACTTTTGAGCAGGAGAAAGCAAAGACCAGACTTAGAGCATTCAAGTTATAACAGAAACCTGGCTGGGACTCAGATCAGTGCCTCACTTAGCCCTCATCACAGAGGCTTCTTGAAGTAGATGAGAACTAACAGAGACCCACAACTGGACAATGCGGGTTGAGAGTTACCAATCTCTTAGTTCTAGGTCAGCCTGGTCTACAGAGCGAGTTCTAGGATAGCCAGGGTTAAACAGAGAAACCCTGTCTTAATAATGAAAAACAAACAAACAAAAACCACTCAGACTTATGTGGAATGTTTTCATCAACCTTCCTCTCAGTGCTCAGGGGCCTATGCAGAGGAGGAAGAAGCAAGTGGGGGTAGAAAAATTCTTAAGAGCCAGAGGTAGTAGATGACTCCAAGGAAATAGTGTCTTCTAGATACAACAGAACTGGTAACAAATGATCTCACAAAGACTAGAAGCGTGCACAGGGCTTACACTGGTTCAAACTAGATTGGCTGCCAGTCCTGAGAAGGAGGGACCTAGGGGTCCCATCCCTAACCATGGTCTATTTGCAATTGGCACACACTTGAAAAGGAAACAAATGAGTCTTCATCTCATTGGGCATATTAGCCACAGTTCAGAGTAGGTCCCATGCCCAGGAGCAGATGGCCAACACAAGCCAAATTGAATGGTATCTTTGTAGACTTTTCATCTTATCTAGCTTTGTTTGGGCTCTTTTTGAAAAGTTAGATTTTTGTAATCACCTCCTACCCGCTATCTCACCCCACCCCAGACAGGGTTTCTGTGTAGCCCTGGCTGTCCTAGAAATTGTTCTGAAGACAAGGGAACTCACAGGAATCCACCTGCCTCTGCCTCTCAAGTGCTGGGATTAAAGGCGGGTGCCACCAGTGCCCAGTAGTAACAAACTTAAAAAAAAAAAAATTAAATTCAAAATCTGAGCTATATCTGGAGTTCAACAATATATGCTTCTCTACATAAATTACCCAACATAATGTTACTTCCTCACTGAAACTTCATACTCTTATCAACATTAAATTCATGTGTCAAGTATACTTAAAACTACCCCTAGTTACAAAAATGATGGTAATGAAACTGCAAAGACTTACATGTCCTCCCATGGATATTCCAGTCATCCCAAGAGGTCCATAGCCTTCCCTCTCCAGCCAGTGCAAGAGAGCTGCGGACTCCAGAATGAGAGCACCTCCCATCACAAACAGGTCAGACACATTCTTTAAGCTGGATCTCCTAGCCTCACAAAACAAAACAGAATGGGACTTATTTCATGCATTTACATTTTTAATACTTTAAAAAGACACCTTTGGAACCAGTTTTCTCTTTCCACTTTATGTAGGTTACAATTATTTTTACTAGTTCAGCCATTTCACTGGCCCACAATTATATTTTATCTTTTTTTTTTTTTTTTTTTTTTTTTTTTTATTGGCACGGATGCTTGCTAGATGCTCAGGCTAGCAGTGTCATATGTAGCTCATGGTGTCCTCAAATTTGAAATCTTCCTGCCTCTGCCTTCCAAATGCTGAGGTTTCAGATATGTTCTTCCAGGCCTGACTGCAAAAACATGTTTTAATAAATTTATTTGAGAATGGGCCTTGCCATACATACCAGACTGACCTTGAATTCAAGATCTACCTGCTGGTATTACAAGTATGTGGCATAAAACCTGGCTAAGCTAATTTAAATAAAAGCCAACATACCTGAATTTTTTTTTTTTTTTTTTTTTTTTTTTTTGATACAGGGTCTATTATAGCGCAGGATGATACTGAACTTCTGACCTACTAGCCTTTGTTTCATGAGTGCTGTCATTACAGGTGTGCCACTGTGGCCTGCTTCAGAGGAGTTCTCATAAAAAGAAGTCTGCTTTCTGCAATGTGGTAGACAGTAATGTTTAACTTCAGGGTGGCTGTGCTTCTGATTTCAAACTGGTAGTCTAGTCACAGAATTAATGTAAGAGGCACCCACTGAATAATCTTTAAGTGAAACTTGTGTACATTTTGAGAAGATTTCACTGGAATGCTGAAGCAAGAGCAGTGGTTCAGGCCTAGTCAAGGCTCCACAGTGAAACCCTGTGTCAATAAAGCTAACAAAAACAAACTGAATGCTCTCCTCCATCAAAACTGATCACATTCCATCAGCGAAATACCCCACTGTCTTTGCTTTCTGTCTTCAAGGCAGTTTTCTACATCTCATTACAAAATTTATTTTGGCCTTGCATGGAAGTTAGGAATTCTGGAGCTCTGCTCCCTGTCATTCCTCAGTTGGTTCTTTTCATAGAATATACTGATGTGAGGTTCTGGGACAGGATATTTATGGTGGACCTGGTCCAACTGTTTCCTTCTTTTCTTTTGTAATCTTTGCTCTTTGTTTACTCACTTTTTATGAAAACAGACTTAAGATGACTTTTTAAGAGAGAGAAGTAGGATATGATGGTACATGACTGTAGTCCCTCACCTGGGGGACTGCAGGTGAGACCTACAGCAGTAGGTCAGCTTGGACATCTTAGTGAGGCATCTCACTCAGTCTCCACCTCCCTGACCCTAGCCAAAGCAAGTAAGAGCAGTGAACTGTGATTTCAAGATTTAAATTGCAAACCATTTGTACTCCTGTTGAATTCTTTGAGGAAAAAAAAAAAAAAAAAAGCAAACAAATTGAACCATCATCATTACCATGGTTTTTCAGGGCTGTGGATCAAATGTTGGGTCTTGCCTATACCAGGAAAGTACTTTACCATTGATTTCCAGCTCTACCCCAGTACAATTCTTGAGTACATAATATAGGAAGCAATATTATCTTTTTTTCTTTTTCCTTCCTTCCTTCCTTTCTTTTTTTTTTTTTTTTTTTTTTGAGACAGGGTTTCTCTGTGTAACCCTGGCTGCCCACCTGCCTCTGTTTCCTGAGTGCTAGGATTGAAGGTATGTATGTACTACCACACCCAAAAGGAACAATTTTTTTAAACATAATTCTAATAATAATTCTGCATGGAAAAAAACCATTAGTATCCCCGTTCTATAAGTGAGGTAAGTGAAGCTTAAGAGGCCAGGATATATAATTAGTATGTTGAGGCCTACCATCATTGAGATGTGACCAGACATGTCCAAGCCTTACTGCTTAACATAAGAACAGCCATTTTGTCTTCCCTAGTGCACAATTCAATACTTATTGCTTAGAATAGAAGAAAATGACAAAGATAATAAATGTATGTTCTCTAAACCACAATATTCTTTTTTGTTCCTCACAGGAATTGTAGGGAGCTGGAAGATCCCCAAGCTGAACTGTGACCCCCTCCCTCCCCAGCCAGAATGTTACAGAGCATTTAAGCTCAAAACCCACAAATATCTGTGCCAAGTTATAGCCATAATTTTCCAAAGTCAGAATCATTTGTTCTTTTTTAGTTAGGAACAATCACTATGTTTTGGGGGAACAGAAGAAGAATAAGGAGGAAATTAATTGGCTACCCATCAGAAGAGCTCCCCTACAGCCTGGGAACTTGATTACCTTATAATCAAAATGGAAAATGAAAACAAAATGGCAGTACTTAGGGTAAGTCTTATTTGTTTGCTCTGAACAGTATTCCAATAAAGACAAAGCTCTGCTCTTTCTACGAAGGAAGGACCAATGTAGTCAATTTACCAACAGGTTTTAGCTGGTCACCCAGGAGAATGGTGCCATATTGGGGCTCAGGGTTAGTTTCTGATGTTGGCAGATCTGGTACTCTGCAGTGGCTATAGGCAGGTCAGCCTTGGTGAGTGAAAGTCCATGTTGTCCAGCCCATTCATAACCTCCATTTCTGCCACTCTGGCCACTTTGTTCATGGATCCACTGGGCAAAGACAGGGAAGGGATGACTGTTCACAGAATAGGCCATCCTATCAATTTGATTACTGAATTCTTTATTAGATGGTCACCTTCTGGTGAGCATTTCAGAGACGAATATCTTCAAATCCTTTGCCTGCTTGGAGAAATGACCCACATACTTCTTCCCTAAATGTTTTCCCCAATGTTCTAATCACACTCCTTCCAAGTCTTTGGAAAAAAAAAAATTAAAAGTACTTTAGGAAGGATAAAGTTTGGGGCCAGGAGAAATGACTCAGAAGTTAAGAGTTCATACTGCTATTGCAGAGGACCTGGACTTGGTTCCCAGCAACCACATTAGGCAGCTCACGACCACCTGTAACTCCAGCTCCAGGGGATCTGATGTTCTCCTTCTGGATTCTATGGGCACCTACATTTACATGTACATATCAACACCTACCCCTAAGTAATAGTGATTTTAAAATATATATTTAAAAAGACAAAGTTTTATATTTTGTTTCACAATTAGATATAATCTGAATTAACTAAGGTGTTTCTAAATCTATCACCTTATCAGACATTAAAATGTAAAAATGGTAAAATAAGAAAGTCACACCTTTAATCCCAGTACTTGGGAGGCAGGGGCAGGGGTAGGGGTAGGGGCAGGGGCAGGGGCAGAGGCAGAGGGATCTCTGTCAGTTCGAGGCCAGCCTGCTCTACAGAGCAGCCAGGGCTACACAGAGAAACCCTATCTCAGAAAAACAGGCAAACAAAGAATTAAAGTTTACATTCTTACTAAGTTTTATAAGTCAATTAAGAAAACAGTTACCTGCAGACTACCAAACATTTATTCTACATACTGTAAAAATGAAGACAACGAAGGTGATAGATACTTACACTTGGTCCTTGGGCTTCCTGCAGCCATTTGAGAAGATGGGTCAAAGAGAAAGTTTTAAAATAATTAAACATACTCATCTCAGAACATATTATTTAAGCAAAACAGTTAAATTTGAATACAATACCCAAGAAACTACTTCTAGTTACTTCAAAAGCTGTTTAGAAGTCCTCAGATTTCTCTGTCTTTCTCTTTGAGACAGGGTTTTTCTGTGTAGCCTTGACTGTCCTAGACTGACTTTGTAGACCAGGCTAGCCTCAAATTCACAGAAATTCATCTGCCTCTGCCTCCCCGGTTGCTGAGATTACAGGTGAGTGTCACTGTGACCAGCTCAGATTTCTCAATTTAATTATTTTTCTTTAAATTTACATAGCTTTACTGAGATATAATCACAAACCAAATGACTCACTTATTTGAAATGCATAAAATAATATACTCAGTATACTTACAAGTTTGGACAATCTTCAATTTAGATTTAAAATAAAATTTATTGATACAATTTATTTAGATGTTTATTTTAGAAATCTAAGAAATATGGAAAAGTATTCAAAAATACTTTCTATATAGACGTGGACACTAACATTTTAAAAATTATTTCCAGTATTTTCCGTCATGTTTATTTATTTATTTTTTCCTTTTCCATTCTACATGGTTTGGGTTTATTTCCATCTTGCTTTTGATGCAGGGATTTACCCAGAACCTTGTGCATTTGTTCTGCCATTGAGACAACATGGTTTAATATCCCACTTTAATATCATAAATACATGATTCTAAATTTTTATTTAAAGTTAAAAAATGCTCAATATTTACCAAATACTGTTCTAAGCAGAGTATTTAGTATTCCGTATAACCTAAAAAATTATTCCCACTCATAAAAAATTATAAGTGAGAAAACAGATACAAAAAGCTAAGTGGCAGATCTGAGGTCATAATTGCAGAAGCAATAAACAGCACAACCAAGTGTATGCACTCTAGTACCATAAGCCAGGTTACTCAGTAGTTTGTCTGTGGTACACATTAATTTCTATTGTCTTATATAAGTAAAGCTATAAAAGCATATTTTCTATGTGTGTTTTTTGTTATTTTTATATTTTGTTCTTAGAGTAAATTTGCAAAACTAAAAAAAAAAAAAAATCACTTTCAAGAGATCTGAGAGGCTTTAATTTCTTTCTTTATTTCTTCCCTGACCCAGCTGTCATTTAGTAACAAGTTGTTCAGTTTCCATGTGTGTGTAGGCTTTTTGCTATTTCTGTTGTTGTTGAAGTCCAGCTTTATTCCATGGTGATCAGACAGGATACAAGGGATTATTTCAGTCTTCTTGTATCTGTTGAGGCTTGCTTTATGACCAACTATATGGTCTATTTTGGAGAAGGTTCCATGAGAAGTGGGAAATAGTAAGAGCTGGAAGGGACGGGAACTCCACAAGGAGAGCAACAGAACAAGATAATTTGAACACAGGGAACTTCCCAGAGACCCATACTCCAACCAAGGACTATTCGTGGAGATGACCTGGAACCCCTGCACAGGTGTAGCCCATGGCAGTTCAGTGTCCAAGTGGGTTACATAGTAATGGGAAGAGGGACTGCCTCTGACATAATCTGATTGGCCTGCTCGTTGATCACTTCCCCCTGAGGGGGGAGCAGCCTTATCAGGCCACAGTAGAGGTCAATGCAGCCACTTTTGATGAGAACTGATAGACTAAGATCAAAAAGAAGAGGAGAACCTCCCCTATCAGTGGACTTGGGGAGTGGCATGCATGCAGAAAGGGGAGGGAGGGTAGGATCGGGAGGGGAGGAGGGAGGGGCTTATGGGGGGATACAAAATGAATAAAGTGTAATTAATAAAAAAATTAAAAAAATATTGAAAAAAAAAGAGATCTGAGAGCTTATTTTTTTCCGTTATTTTCTCCTTTGTGGTATAAAAGATTGAATTCAGCAGCTCACACATGCTAGGTCACTCTACCACTGAGCCACATCTTTACCCAGATGTGAGGTGGCTTCTGTGTGAGTGTGTACCTTTGTGTGTCAACACACACACACACACACTGCCTCATATGGAGACCAGACGTTGATACTGGCATCTTCATCAATCACTGTCCACCTTGGCCAATGATCTCCAAGAGTTTATTTGTCTCTGCCTCCCTAGTACAAGGGTTATGGCTCTTTTGTGAGTTCTAGGGATTTGAACTCAGGTTCTCAGTACAGGCACTTAACGGGTTGAGCAATCTCCACAGGCAGGTATGAGATGTTTTAAGACTCCTAATACAGCCAGGTGCAATGTCACATGCTTATAATCCCAGAACTTAGGGAGGCAGAGGCAGGCAGATCTCTGTGAGTTTGAGGCTAGCCTGGTCTACAAAGTGTGTCCAGGACAGCCAAGACTATACAGAGAATTGAAAAACTAAAAACCAGAAACAAACAAACAAGCAAAAACTCTCCTAACACATACGTTAATATTGCTTTTGTATTTCGCTGAACTGATTTTCAGGCATTTGTAGTAAGTTTCCCTCTCACAGTAGCTTTCCTAAGAAACACTGGTAATTGTTTAACTTAACATTTCTCTTATTATTAGAAATGTTGTGCATCAATTTCTTCTTTTGTGAATGGTCTGATTTCATCTTGAAAATTAAGTATTGTTCTAAACCACTACCTTTAACTATAAACGCATTTCAAAAATGAACATTTCTTTACTAAAACATTTAACTTATTAAGCCCAACATAAGAACCTCAAGAAATAGAAGTACAATTTATCACTATTATAAGTAGGATTAAAGTATTTACATTAATTTCACTTGCATCCTAAATTGGCTCCAACTCACAAGCTTCCTGCTTCAACTTCCTGCACACCTGAGATTTTAGGAATGTGCCACCATACATGGCGCATTCTGCCTCCTGAGAGCTGGGACTAAAGGCCTGAACCAATACAGTTGGCTTTACTTTTTTCTTCTTCTTCTTCTTCTTCTTCTTCTTCTTCTTCTTCTTCTTCTT